GCTGCACTCTTTTATCCTGTGAACCCTTAAAAAGCTTTTTTGTTTTTTTCTGCATACCTCTTAATTTGAAGGTTCAGCTGGTCTCTCAACAAAATTGATCAACTTCTCCCGACAGGAGTCAGGGTAAGGAGGACCCTCTTACCTCAACGGAAACAAATTGGATTCATGATGACAACAGTTTTTTTGCCATTTGGGTTGGTGAATTCTGGATTGTCCATAAATTTGTGTGGATGTGTCGAAGCTCGACAGTGCTCAGACTGAATTCGGGGAGCTGCAGCAGGGAGCTGGAGCAGCTGTTATCAGGACTGTGAAGTTCCTGGCAGCACTCATGAATGGTGGGAATAATCTTGGAGAAGCTGTGAGCTCGACTTTTGGCGTAAAGGATCAATTCGGCTACTTTGGAGTTTCCATCAGAGGAATATACCAGCGAGACTTTAAAAAGGCAGAAACAACAATTCATGAGTTCTGCCTGACCCAAATTGTGGCCTTGACACCGGACTTATCTCGACTCCTCCTGGAATGTTTTGAAAACAACAAAGATGCTTTGACTGTTTCCTCACCACTCCCTTCCCCAAGGCCATGGGCATGTGACAGAACCTCAACTGAGCTGAAGATGAACGTCACCTCTTATCTGGACTATGCTACGACTTTCCCTTAAAAATTCAATGTCTTCACCGGCCTATATGTACATCTATAACGTCTGTTTATGTTGCTTTGCAGTGGTATTTTTTTTTTTTTGATGCCTCAAATCGTGCCGTCTAGGACACGGCGTGAGAGTGATTTTTTTTTAAATACCGTCTCTCCTCATGTTTTCTTCCCTTTTCTTATCTAAGCAAAATATTATTCTGAATAAGAATAAGAAGGCCGCGCTATTTATGTATAGCCGCAGCTTTGTGCACTCTGCCCATCTTTCGGACGACTGTACGTACATATTCTCGTTGTATCTCGGTGCAATGCCAATAAAGTTTACTCTGATTCTAAGCTAAAATGCAGTAAACCTGCTTTATTGTGTCAGAGTTTGGACAATATAATGATTCATTTAACTTCGGATTGGTCATTTGATGACAGGCCTACTGGATTTGATTGACAGGTTGCGTCGTGGATCCGACATGTGGGAAAAAAAAACACGAGGGCTGCAAAAAAAAAAAAGTCTCGTATGACTTTATTCTCGTGACATTAATACTTTACTATTAAGTTAAGACTTTATTTGACTTTATTCTCGTAATAGTAGGACTTCATTTTTGTAATTTTATGGCTTTTAATCAATTAATTTTTTCTTATCATGGCCCTAAAGCTCCATTGTAGTTTCGAGACTTTGACTGTGCTTAGTGCTATAAATTTTAGGGATCACCATCTGTATCATATTATTTCTACTTCAGTGACTTTCCAAGAAGATGAAGTATGTTGAAATTATGAGAAAAATAAATAAATCAAAACATTTATGCAGAAAGAAATGTGCCTGAAATGGTTCAGAGACAATCCACTTGGGTCTTGTTTTTTCCAAAATTATAGAAGCAGGTGCAAAATTAAACTGTTCCACATTTTTTTGGGAGTTTATAGTTCATTACTATATGTTAACTTTTTAAATGCATATTAAAACAAACATTTTGAACAAAATAGCTAATCAAATTTGAGACCACATTTCTTTGAAGCACTGATCTCTGACAGCAGTCATTGATCTGTACCCTCAGGGAGTGGAAGTGCTTTTGCCAAACTTACCTCAGCAGGCCAGATCACTGTAGTGGGCTGAGAGTCTTCCAGCTGCAAAGATTTCTCAACAACAGCAAACTTTTCCACCTAGAGAGAAATCGCACAAGTGGAAGGGTTTGACACGGGTCATGTTGGACTAGAAAAATGCAGTTTTACTTACATCAATCTCCTTTGGTACAGTAAGTTGGCAGTTGTTCTGTTTCCACATGTCGACACACTAAAGATTGTGAAAAAGGACACGAAGAAAGAAATTAGGAGAGTACTGGTGGCGTCAACCTTTTGAAGTTCACCGATTTCTAGACCCACGTGTGGATGGCGACCACTTACGTTTCCAACCTTCGAGATCTTGAGGTCTATGACCGGCGCAGGTTTCCTCTCCTTCCTCCTCTGTAGGTAGTCGTAAAGTCGTAGCTGTGGTGGCACGGGCAGATGGGACAATTCTTGCTGCCTGTTGAGTGCAGCTTGAGAGTGTCTCTTAAAACACCTAGAACGCAAGCAAATAAGTGTTTGATAAATGGTTTGTTTAATTTTCCTTTTGTTGTTTTTATAGTCACCAAGCCTCCATTTTAATGTTTTCTATTTAGATTAAATAAAAATTCTAAGACATATAAACTTAAACTGAGCCCAGGTCAACAGTGATGAGTGTGTTCAGTACCGTTTCATGGAGCGAGTGTTCATTTTCTGTTTGTTGTAGAGCAGGTGGTTGGCTGTACAAGTGACAGAAATGGAGGGGTCTAGGCACAGAGGTTCAGCTGTGGCCAAAATCAACTGACTCTCCAGCTGCAATTTGTCATCCTGGAGCAGTGAAAACAGGAGAGAAAACACATCAAAATGGCTCAAACATAAAAAGATTAGACTTGGGAAAAAGTAATTCTGAAGTATGGACACTTTAGATGGTTATATAAATGATGGGATGTTATCATATGAGGCAGTACGGTATTTATGTTTGTTTCTCACATGAATAAACAAATTCAGTGAATAGATGTGTAGAATTATCTTGTCCTAAGAGGCATACTGATGCAGAAAAACCCCCCCAAAAAAAACAATAGTCTGCAGACTAGTCAAAAACCACAGTGTATACTATAATTATTAATAAACTATTTGTATGTATTTGCCTCAATTGAAAAATCAAGCTGCACATTCTTATATTTCATGGAAATGCCTTAAAGAATACGCAAAAAATGAAGCAACAGCATAAGAGAAGGAAGAAATAGAAAAAAGTTACATGTAACTCCAATGTTACGCTTACATTTTGTAATATGTTGTTTAAAAAAAAATCTGTGACATGAACAGAGTACTGTGGTAATACAACTAATACCACTTAGACATTTTCATCTCAACCTAACGTTTGCAACACATCAACCTGAATGAGCAGTTCAAAATTGATTCCTTTCAACTGAGGAAAGAGAATCACAAAATCTGTGACAACTTTAGGAGCAAAGGATTCACAACCTTATTCTGTTCTGGAGAAGCCCTCATTTTCACAGCGGCTGAAGACCTGGGATCATCGATACAAGCTGCCTACAAGCTTCACTTTGCAGAATTGATCACAACTGCACAATTAAAATGAACTAAAGTCTAAAATAAGCAGAATAGTCATAGCATGTGGCTTGTTTAGTGGTTAGCACTGTTGCCTCACAGCAAGAAGGTTGGGTCTGAGGTCTTTCTGTGTGGAGTTTGCATGTTCTCCTCATGTTTGCGTGGGTTTTCTCCGGTTACTTGGATTTCCTCTCATAGTGCAAAACATGCATTTTTAGGCTGCCTTCAGGACCAGGCCTTCCTTGCAAAAAGGATCTGTGATCTCAATGAGATTTGTCTGGTTAAACAAGAAACATGTGGAACACCGATGTCCCCTATCACCAAGTTGATTTGAATAGTAAATGTTTGTAATTTTTGAGATGAGTGTTTTTCAGGACTGGAATTGAACAGCGAAAATATTCAAGTAGGTAAGAGTTAAACTGTGTAAAAGAAAAGAGAGTTGTTTTTTTTCTTGTCTGAGGCAGCACAGAGTGATGAATCCTGGCAAGTGGAGGGAAACAATGTATCCACTACCAGTTGCAATGCTGGAGCCAGGGGGAGGGGCAATGGTGGGCTTGACCACCATAAAACAATCTTCGCCCACACCAAGGGCCACCCCAATCATTTGAAGAAAGTATACTTTTAAGCAATCTAAAAACTAGAAAGCATATTTTATTGAAATGATAGGGGTGGCTTATTTTACGTACCGGTATATATGGTAGTGGTCATCTTGGATTTTGACGCAGTGACCCAATTTTCGATAATGACCTTTCATACGCTTAGATGCAGCCACACACAAAAATGGAAGTTGGTCTCTCACTATATTTTTTTAATTATCATGATCACAACATGGACAGACAGACTGGTGGACAGAGGGTATTTCCAATTCTCTCTCTTTGCTCTGCGACGGGGGACAATAAAGGTTATTAAATAAACTATAAAAACAAAGACTGTGCCAACTTTTGCATAATTTTTCATCTATATTTCTTGGATATATACAAAACTAAAGTCTTCAGTCACAAATTGGTCTTAAAATGAGTATTTTATTTTACTGACAATTATCTGAAAATTGTCAGCTCTAAAATAAAAAAATAAAATAAAATTGGTCATGCAGTATGCATAATCAAAAAAGCAACTGTATGTGATGATATAGTAAATTAAGTGTGCAAGACACTGAGATGCAGGACATTGTAAACAGCAGAATTGTATTCAAATGATCAAACCATTTAAGATTTATGCTTTTTATTACTGAACATAGCACTTTACCTGTGTCCACTTGTGGTGGTCACTGGTCATGGCATGGACATCACAGATTAGAGTCTGCAGAGCAAACATTTTTAAACTGTTATTTCTTGGATAATAAATTGAATTAAAAAAAAGGCAGGTCAGGTGCTCAGCTCAAATGCAACTAGTTATATTACCCCCCCCCCCCCCCCACAACCCACAAAACAAAAAAAAAAAAAAAAAAAAAAAAAAAAAAAAAAAAAAACTTAGATACCCTAAGGCTTCAGTTTTGGATGATTTTATAGGTTAGCACTTAATTTTATTATCAAACTTGGTGTATTTTACCTGCATGGTTGGCCGGAGCAGGATGTGCCTGCTCTGATAGGTGGGAATCTTGGTATTACCAGCTTGTCTGTAGTCTCTTACTTCTACTATTACACAGCCAGAGTGGAAGATGTTCACCTGACACACAATACATAAAGAAAATATCAACCACCATGAGAAACTACAAAGCAAAACACAAGATGTAGTTATTTTACCAAAACGAACTACAACTGTTTGAAGCACTGCTCTCATTACATGCCATACAGTGATAAAAAAAACAAGTAAAAACTGTGTAAATATTTTGTACACCACCTTACTGCAGACTAAGGCCACTTTGCATACAAACCTGTGATTTCTCCAACAGATCAACCAGAATGGGAGGCAACTCCTCTGCATCCAAATACTCCAGAAGCTCTCTTTCTTCATATGGCAGACGGATAGTTTCAGAATCTAGACAACACAAACAGACGTTACAGATGAGACAACTGTGTGAAAAAAGATGAAAGAGAGGAGAAAAATGGTGTTAAACTGCTGTTACCTGATCCATTTTTGCCCCTGAGCATTAAGGAATAGCCTTCATTCCCAGGGTACAAGTTGACAACCAGACACGACAGCGACTCCTGAGACACTAGCTTTTCCAGTAAATTCACATTTCTCCTCAAATTCTTCAGAAATAGACAAAAAAAAACACAAGTCTTCATAAAATATTTGGTAGTAAACATACAAATATCTGAGCCCATCATTTAGGTACAATGTAGTAAAACAAAATGTGCTCTTAAACACATTATCTTTTAGTTTATTTTAAACCTAAATTGATTTAATGTAGCAATAAATGATTTATTTATGCATAATTAAAAATGAGCAATTTTTGCATAATCATTTGAAATATTTGCATTCACCTTTATAAAATTTGGATAGAAGATATGACAAAAAGTCCTATTTCTATCAATGTTTTACCTTTTGCTTGTTCTTACTCTGAGACATTAAACTTCTAATAATTTTTAGCTGCTCAAATAAATTAAGACCTTATCAGTTACGGGCATTATAGTCATGAATCTAGTTGTAAAGCCAAACATTGCAGCATCACTGTGGATGTTCTTTTATTTATTTTAATCTAAACATAAACAAAGAACCTAACTAGCAAATGCGACCAAAAATGGCAAAACTTATAGACCAATTGAAAAAAATAAAAATAAATAGAGGTGTAAACTAACATTAAGAGGTAATGATTTGCATAACCATAGAACAATCGACATAAATTTTAGTGAGCTTTAAGACAGTAAACGAATAATTAAATTGTAGATCTGCGTGAGGATGGAAAAGAACAAACCTTTAACTCTGGTTCTTTTTCACATTCTTCAATGTACAGCTCATAGAGCTTCTGATACAAACTCTTCCTCCCACCAGACGACGTTCTTCTTTTGGCTGGTCTTTGTCGAGCACTTTCAACAATGTACTGAGCAAAAGACATCAAATTAACGAATGCCGAGGTGTTATGCAAATATAAACACACTCAAAATGTTATTTATGTGTAAACTATAAAGATAAGCAGATACGATGGAAAAAAAAAGTTTTTACCTCGGCTCGATCCAATGCATATTCCAAAACTTGTTGCTTAAGGGTAGAAAAATTGAACCGATCACTCACACACAAAGATAAGAGAGCTGAATATGTGCAACATTTCTGCTCAGACCTTCTTCAGCTGCGTTACAGGATAATTCCTGTGACAATAAGACAAATAGTTGAAGACGAATGAAGTAGTAGATGTTTTATTTACCATTGTGGTCCACTGCCAGCTGCAAGGCGAGTGACAGTATAAGTCCTTTCTGCCTCACACTGTCACCTTCTTAGAGTGACCATTCACACCCTGCACAGCAAAACACAGCACATATCTGAAGTACAGGGACTAAATAAACTTAACACAGTAAAAAAAATACACTCGCTAGTGTCTGGCAGGTTGTTTAGACCATGCTGGTGTCAAATAATGTGGCTGGTAACCAATCAGACTGCACACATAAACAACTATAATTAAGAGTGGCGAGCCAAATGTTTTATGCAAGTTGTTTCATCCTTTATGAGGGTTTAAAATTCAGCGAAACAGAAGCAGAAATGGTTTCAGATTCAAGACAATTGTGCATTTGGGGAGAATGAAACTCTAGCGACTGTGAGCTCAGTTCAGAGAGAGGCTGAACAGCAACAAGCTCGGGGATGTCTGACCGTCAAGGCTAACGTAGCTAACCCTTCCGAGTGGGGAAAGCTGGAAGTTAAAGCTACGCTAACGGTCCTACGTCGTCGGGGACACAACCAGACACAGCGACGTCAGTCTCAACAAACTGCTTCCACTTGCCTTCGACGTTGCATAGCGGTCGACAGTTGCCCCGACGCAAGAAAACAAAATGAAATTGAAATATCAGTGTCTTCATTGAAAAAAAGTCGGAGCAGCAGCCATTTTCTTCCAGTGTGACAACAACAGCTAAACTTCCGGTTTGAGCGGCGGTGGGCGGAGCCATGCCGAGCCGCTACTTTTCCACTGATCCATGAGTTTCTGCATTTTCCATGAGAATATGCTCTACTGTGAAAGTTGTTATTGAAGTTAAAACCAATAACAAGAAAACAAAAACAACAACATCCCTTAACAAATAATATCATGCAATTTACGTTTAAAGTGACAAAAACTGAAACTTTTGTCTAAAAACATAAAATATAACTGTTATAAGTTAGTGTTTATCTTTATTTGTATATGTAAATAATTCACACGTTTTCATACCTGTGCAAAATGTATGCTATAACCCATTTGTTCAGGTTATTCTACCAGGAAAATAGGTGCAATTTATATGTCAAATGAATTTACAAGAACCTTTTTTCATTGTGAAATAAACATTTTGCTTTTATTTATGTGCCATGAATCTGGTTCATTGTGTTCTCATTGCTTATTGCATTAGTGTAGCTGCAATTAATTTAAAAGCAAAAGGCAAAATAAAAAACATCAGAAGAACATAGGTTTACTGATGCCAAGCTGTGATCAATAAGTCAACACAAGAAAACATCTGTAATGATTTTATCTTTCACAACCAACAAGATGCACACATAATGTTCTTCTTAATTTTAACTAAAGTCTTGGTTAGCATAGTGTGATTCCATCTAAATTGCAGTTCATAAAACTTCGGTCTTGTAAGTTTTGATTGTAAGTACAAATTTCTTCCAGTAGAACAAGTTTAAAAATGATAATTTCAGTAAGAAGTTTGGGAAGATGTTTTTAGACTATTACTAAGTTTAGGAAGTCATAGGAAGCTAGCCATTTCAAATAATAATAATAAAATAAATAAAAATAATACTTCACAAGGGCAGCACGGTGGCCCATTGGCAGAGCCACTGCCTCTCAGCGAGCATCGCCCTGGTTCAAATTCAGGTCCGGGGGTCTTTATGGGTGCAGTTTGCATGTTCACTCCGTGCATGCGTGGGTTTTCTCCAGGTTTCCAGTTTCCTCCCACAGACCAAAAACATGCAAGTTAGGCTGACTGGTAACCCTAAATTGTCCCTAGGTGTGAGTGAGAGAGTGGATGGTTGTTTGTCTCTATCCCTGTGATGGACTTGTGATCTGTCCAGGGTGTCCCCTGTCTCTCCCACAGTGATAGCTGGACATGGGCACCAGTGACCCCCGTAACCTGAACAGAAAGAAGCTGGTAAAAGATGGATGGATGAATAGTGTTCACAATTTGGTTGCAGGAACAATATATCATTCAGAAAATGACCACAACCTTTTTTTGAGTTTGTTGCACTAGATCCAACAACAATTCATTATTTTCATTCTTTTAGGATGCCAGAGACACAACAGCAAACATTTCTGACAGGAAATGGAGTTAATTTTTACATTTGTCTTTGTTGTTTACTATATCTTGTTTTCATGACATATTCAATCCTTTTTACTGTTTTAAAAAATGTTCCCTATACGAACACTCACTTATGAACAAACACAGTGGAGGTGCTAGTATAGCTCATTGAGTCAACTTTATTAGTTTATCACTGACATGCCATAAGAGCACAGTAGGGGGCAGAACAGGACAGCAGATTCATTTGGCTGCATTGAATATGAGACAAATTTAAGAGTTTTGAGAGTTAAGTTTCTATTTTTTTAATTTGCTAAAATGTCAGGAAACATAACAGAAAAGCTTTTATATTTTCATTTAATGTTTGCATAAAGCGGGCAGCACGGTGGTGCAACTGGTAGAGCTGCTGCCTCTCAGCGAACAGGTCCCTGGTTCAAACCCCGGTCCAGGGGCCTTCTGGGTGGAGTTTGCATGTTCTCTCCGTGCATGCGAGGGTTTTCTCCGGGTACTTCGGTTTCCTCCCACAGACCAAAAACATGCATGTTAGGCTGATTGGTAACTCTAAATTGTCCCTAGGTGTGAGTGAGAGAGTGAATGGTTGTTTGTCTTGTTTGTCTCTATGTGGCCCTGTGATGGACTTGCGACCCATCCAGGGTGTACCCCGCCCCTTGCACAGTGATTGCTGGACATGGGCACCAGCAACCCCCGTGACCCAAAATGGAATAAACTGGTAAAGATAATGGATGGATGGATGGATGGATGGGTTTGCATAAAGCTGTTCTTTAACTTAACAAACAAGTAAATGCAACCATGCCTTCTTTCATTTTAAAGTGGTAATTCCACCCATCCATCCATTACTGTTACCTGATTCTTCCTTTCTGGGACTGGTGCCCATGTCCAGCAGTCACTGTGTGAGAGGCAGGGGACACCCTATAGGTCTCCAGTCCATCACAGGGACACATAGAGACAAACGAGACAAACAACCATTCAGTCTCTCACTCACACCTAGGGACAATTTAGAGTTACCTGTCATCCTAACATGCATGTTTTTGGTCTGTGGGAGGAAATTGGAGAAAACCCACGCATGCAAAGAATGCAAAGTAATGTAAACTCCACTCAGAAAGGTCCCGGCTGGGATTCGAGCCAATGACCTTCTCACTGAGAGACAACAGCTCTACCAACTGTGCCACCGTACCATCCTAAAGCAGTCAGGTTTTTTTTTTTCACAGACCTCCTCTTTTAATTCAGAGCTGATTTGTGTAGCCCTCAGTCAGGAAAGAATAGTCCTGACAAAAACTATCAATGGTGCAGGTGTGTACCACTGTGCACACCTGCACAAACACACACAAGTGCATAAAAAGTTTTGCTGCTCTGACACTTTTTATGTAGACAAGGGTTCTGTATTTGTCTCCATACATCTGTCACATCTGTTGAAATCAAAATGGCTTAAAGTCAGAGTTGGAGTCAGAGTTTCTTTGTTTGTCATGCGCACCACATGTAGTGCATGTAGTGGAATGAAATTATGTACCCAAGGTCCCAGTTACAGCCAACAAAAGTATAAAATGTAAAAGAAAAACAGTTATGAGATCTAAGATATGAACTAGGAAAAAGATCTAAAAATATGCTAAACACTAGTAGTATGAAAACAATACGGTGAACAGCAGCAATGTCGTTGTTGTAAATGGTGTGAATGAACTATATCTTCCTGTTGAGTCACAGTTTTATGTGACCAGAGATTAAAACAATGCCACCTTTTTGGAAATAAATAAATAAATAAATAAATAAAAACAAATCTTATCATTTAACATGAAAATATAATAATACAGAGCAAAAATAGTCTGTTTCACATTGTGTTGTATAATAAACTCCATATTTTTCAATTCAGCTTATGTCCAGTGCACTTTCCAGAGACCCATGCTGTGGTAATAAACAAACACGCACTCTCGCTGGACTTCATTCTTTATGTCCTTTTCAGTGGAGACAGTAGTTTGATGGAATTTGGCAGAAATTATTATAAAATACTGAACAGCTGGAGAATTGGACACAGTGCTGTAGAAAATCACAATGGACAAAAGGCATTAAAAATATCCTAGTAAAACAGACACACAGTGCTATTAATCATTCAACAATCACTTTTTCACTGGATTTGGAACAATATTCAGAGTAAAATAAACATAAACAAACAAAAATACACCTGACACGTTTAATAAGGATACTAAATTGTAAATGTCTGGCACTGCAATAAGTTTGGCTCCATGCCAGTGTGAAACAAAAAAAAAAGGAAATCTTTTAGATTGTTGCTTGGTTAAAATATTTTTTTCATATTAAAAGACAATGTTGAGGGTTGCTAGACTTTGGAGTATAGGATATCGGACATAAGTTAGTAATAATCATACACATGGCTGTATTTATTGATGAGGTGGTTTGTCTAAAAAAATGATTGCATGAGTCATTTGTGCTAGCAGGGAAACACAAAAATTTATTTCCTAATCAAACCAAGTCCTGCTATTGTTTAAACTCCACAAGGAAGCTATCCACTTTATTCCTGGCAGCTCTACTGTATAAATGATTATGGGCACAACTTCCTGTCAGACACAGGAAGTAGCAGTAAGCATTGGTTAACCATGGGACCACAGTTTATTTGAAAGTAATTTGTATTCAGTTTAGCAGATAAAACACTGTTTTTGTTTTCTAAAAAAGTTAAATCTGGTCCTCTGGACGTTCAAAAAAACAAAACAAAGCAAATCAACAAAAAATGTAGAAACGTTTCGTCTCTCATCCGAGACATTTCGTCTCTCTCGGATGAGAGACGAAACGTTTCTACATTTTTTGTTGATTTGCTTTGTTTTGTTTTTTTGAATGTCCAGAGGACCAGATTTAATTTTTTTAGATTTTTCTACCTGGATTATTGAGCATGCATCAGGATGTTTTTGTTTTGTTAACATTTATTTAACCATTGTAAAGTTTACTAAATTAGCTGTGCTGAGTTCATGTACATGTTGTGTTCGGGGCTGCACGAACAACCAGACCA